GATTAATTATATCCGATTTCGGGATTTTAACTTTTTACGTCAACGGACGAAAATATATGGCACGCTTTCAACTGTCAAAATTTCCACCAGTCACAGTACTTTCGAACAATCTTATCGTCGGATAACCATTCTATGGAAATGCAGTTTAAATCGTTCTAGATTTTGCTAGCGTCATTCAGCTGTGAAACAGCTGACGGTAACGTGTTAAGTAAAGTTTTAAATAGACCATCTAGCGACGAAACTTTGAAATAGTAGTCCCGCATCCTCCTTGCTGCTCTACTCATTTCAAACAACGCTCACTTAATAAAATTAATTCTTTTACCATTATTACTTTTTGAGACAATCTGTATAGGTTTGTTATTTATTTCAAAGTTATTAATATAGTCAATATAATTTTAAGAAATTATGGATTGTTGGTTTGTTAATACATTTGCGGGAGTGAAAAATTGTTTTTTTAGCCAATTGTAAGGTATGAAATTGTTTTTATTTTGTTTCAACAATTCATAATTTATTGTTTGAAGTGTTCTATTTATGGATTGCCATTTCTTAAGATTTTAATGATCTAGTTAAAGAAGAAAAAAAAAATATAAAAAAGTTACTCAATCTTTATTAAAATATTCTAGTTGCCAATTTATCTAAAAATTAATACATATCTCTTATTAATAAATTTATAAATTTACTCCTTTTTCAACTCTAGCTACTAGTGCAATTTTTTTTGTATATACAGGAGGTTAAAATTTAACTAGATCATTAAATGTTGTGTAGCTTTGGCCAAAAACATAAAAGAATATATCTTTTAATTTAAAAAGGCTGAAAATGAATTTCAATATCAACTATTCTGAAACGAAGAAGAGCATAATGTATAAAATATTGAGATTTTTTTTATTTTTGCTATCCGGATAGGCCTTAGAAGAAGCGACCAAATATTGAATAGGATACAAGTAAGATAAATATATATAAATTTATATTTTATAACAAATTACGCCTTATATAGAAGTAGTGGACATTTAAAAAAATATATTATATATATATTAACAAATTTATTCAGTTATGTTGTGTAAGAAATTTTATAAAATATTTTATCCTAATGTTGCATGTTTATAACTCGTTATTGACCAATTATCGAGTCCTTAAATGCCATTTCGCAATTCTTAGGTTCAAGAATAGACATTACTTTTTTTTTAACCTACGGTTATAAGATGATAATTTAGCGGGATCTTCAATATAGTTTGGCCTCACAAAGAAGATACTAGTTTCATTTTCTACTTCCATATTTGACAATATGTAAAATATATAAACTTTTATCTTTAAAATAAAACGAACAAATCAAAGTAACGTAACGAGTCTCTTCAAAAAAATTGAAAATAGGTTGTTTTTGACAAAGCTCAGCTTTGTAAGTTTAAACCCCAAAAATGTAGCAAAGAATTTCCACGTTCTACAAGGTCAGAATGAACGAAATATTCGTAATTTTGTCTGGTGCAAATAACATTTAGAAAGGTACCATTTGTGAACGTGAGACCGAGATAACCGACGGCTAAAAGTGCTGTCGCCTCTCTTGCATCGGTCGCGCTGCCCCAAATGTGCTTCATTTAATTACATATGATTCAGACGTAAGAGACACATTTCGGTCTCCTTACTAGGTCGCCTGTCTCGGTCTCGCATTCCCAAATGGTACTTTAAGTGTCACTGGTTTTCTACTAACAATGATTTGGTAAAATAAAATGCAAAATGTAATCATGACCTTTAAATTTAACACTTTACAATCAAATGAACCAACTAAAACTCGAACAGATCTTAAAAACTGGCAACAATGTTTTAAAGCCATTCAATGAAATTACTCGTTTTTGGCGCCAAGTTTAAAAATAAATGTCTTTTGTTAGAAAATTCGTACCAGTGTTATAGGATTTAAATCATCACAGATGATTTATAGTGGTACAATCATATCTTCAGCTGGAATTTTAAAAAGTGGTTGGCGGTACCATTAGGAAGTGTCATCTGTAAGTATTTAGTTTAGAATCACTAAAGAAGAACAACTAAAAATTTACACATGACCCTTTTTAAGGCTCACAGATAGGTATGTAAATAGTCAGAAGATGGCCAAGCCACTGCAAAAGGGCTGTCAGACTCCTTTAATTTTTTTTTTTTAATTTACAGTACACATATTAACTCACTTGACATAAGTCTCCGGTGGCCAAAAGCAAAGTTGAATCCATGTTGAATTGTTGCTTAACTATGTGAGCCTAGGAGACTTGTATCAAGTGAGTTATCTAATCAAATATGTGTATTGTTAATTTTAACAAAAAAAAAAACAAATGTAAGGGCTTGACAGTCCTTTAGCAATGGCCTAACCATTTGACGATTTGAATATTTCATCTGTGACCTTCGAAGAGGTGATATGTAAATTTTCGGCCGTAGGTGTGATTGTTTTTTAGCCGATATTTTTACAATTTTGAGTTGTCTGACGTCTCCTTTGCAGGGGATTTAAGTTAAATACTTGCAGATGATACTTTCTGGTGGTCCTGCCAACTTTACAAAATTCCAGCCAGAGGTCGCTAGCTCTCATTCTATTAGTAGTTCTCTAAATAATTGATTGTTTATGCAAATAATTGAAAAATCCGTGGTTTTCGGTGATCGTTAGTTTTGAGTAACATCAACTGAGAAAATACAGAGTGGTTCTTTAGGTTTTTTTTTTTTTTGAAATCATGGATTTATAAGAACAAGCCACAGACTTTAGCGGTCTTAAATGAGAACAACCGAGAAGAAGTGGGGAATTCAACCCCAGAAGTTTTGAGAAATGAAAAATTGGAAAAAACTTTTTATACGGTTGTAATTTATGAATCGTAAGGTTAGCCATATAATAAATTTGGTCCAAGAGGAAAGTGACATAATGGCATTTAGGGACTCGTAAACAATTATAATGACAAGATTGAGTAAGTCGTAGGTATTGCGAATGTTTTCAAAGGAATTGTAAAGAAAGTGATTGGATTGTGATACTTTATTTTTGTATTTACCGGACAGGAGAAGAGTTTTATTTATAAAAGTTTGTATAGATTGTGCCTTTTATTTATTTCATTATGAAAACTTATGCCTTTAGAAACATTATTCACTATGTATCGATTTTATTAAAAGTTTATTACATAAAACCGGTTTTTTATTATTTTTTTCAGCAAGATTTGTGAACATGTTTAATATTACCCGTTATAATTGAAAAAAAAAAGACTGATGAACAGTAAAACTGATCAAAGCATCAGCCTTCTTTACCAACATTACTAAAAAAATACGTGTGGCACTCGGGGACTGCCGCGGTAAAGCTATTGCATAGCATTTTTTATCAACTTATGCAATTATTTATTTATTTTATTTATGCAGTATTTTTTTCTTTGATATTCAAGTTTTTTGTTTGATATTAATTCAAGTTACACTTTTTGAGCGTGGTGACAGATAAGAAAACAATTTTTTTTCTTTTATTGAATAAATGAGAAGTTAATATTTAAAATATTTTTATTATCTTACAATACATGTAGGTTATTCAGGAATTTTTATCATTGAAACTATAGGTTTATGGTAACTGAAATAAGAAACATAAGTTTGAGACTTGACATCCTCTAAATATCTGGAAAATACCGCGTCAATGGTGGTCCCATATTTTGTTGTGGATTCTTGTGGATCATTATTCATTTTCAAATTCAATTTTTCCGAAAATGTGTCTAAAAGAGATAGAATCAGTTATGAGCAAGTCTACACGCATACGTCTTGTCGCACTCACACAAAAACCGTGCCGAAGTCTGCCGAATTGAAACGACGTTAGATAAAAGCTATACAATAGCTTAAAAATATATAGCTAATCAAGAAGAAATTCGTATGTATCCTTTTTGAACAAAATGATATCTAAGGAAATGATGAATAAAATACACACACCCCTGGGTAGCTATTCTTGAATTCGACGGAATAGAATACCGGTTTTTCCTCTTTATCTGCAGCGCACAAAATTTGTATTTTTGTCTTATTCTTCTCTCGAAATTTCTACTCCCTGAAATTCAAGAATAGATACCCAGGGAAGAACCTGGAAGCTTCAGGCTAGAACCATCAGCACCTCTACCAATTAGTCTATCTATCGAAACACATGGCTGCGACATTCGAATTTGTAGATTTGAAAATCACTACATTTTCATTCCCTCCCAGCTCTCTCAATTTAACCGTACTCGAAAACTCGTAGCTGGTAAACGAATGATGGATCTTCGAAATGTATTTTAGTGCAATCTGATACGATGCAGTCTTTATTTCTTAGATTTTTCAATATTTCTTTGGTTTGCTTTCATTTTGGTGATATTTCCAAAATTGCTAAGGTAATAATTTTTCTCGTAATTTTATATTAATTTCAATTTGTAAACGTTGCCTGAATTTTTACAAATAATAACACAACAGTTTAATTTAAATTAAGAGTTAACTGATGGTTTTTTGATATTTTAACAAAGTCGTTCAACAAAATCGCATATAAAATAAAAATTTAATTTGAGTATCGTAAGGGTAAAAGTAAGGTTTTTCATATATAATACCGTTTTTAAATTTACATAGAGCCAAGAATTGAACCCTGTGATACTCCGCGTGAAATTAATGTCATACTTGACATTCTATTTTGAAAGTAATTAAGGAAGTGGCACAACTGTAAACTGATCCACAACCGAATTGTCAATATGGTTGTTTTATGATTTGAAACTGGTCAAATATTTTGCCAATTTATTTTTTTTGTTTGATTTTCATCATTATATTTTTGCGCGACTAGCAGAAAGTTAAATTTCAAAAAGCCCGCGCTAAGCGGCCATATTGAATTTTAGTACCACTCCAATTTGATAGATGGCAGCACATCGACTCAGAATATTACCATTGAGTTTCCCATCTATTCACTTTACCTAATCTATGGTTAAAACTATTCAGACACGTAACAATATTTTTTGCTCGTTATTTATAAGGAAATTGGAAGGAAAAATAAAACTATTCTTGTATAATTATTATTTATTGTTAAAGTTCTACACAAACTAATTAATTTACAAATAAGTATCATCTTATGGTTTGATATACAATTACCTCGAGAATGGGGCACCTTTTACTTACGTTATATATTTAGAATTTTAAAGATTCCAGCACTGGTTAAAAATTTGATAATAAAGATGTCGTTGGCCATAAAATATTCGATTCCTTTTCAATTTATACCGTGACTCTCTCTCTTATTAAACGAGGACTAGTTAGAAGATAGTTTCTGAAAATAGATGAAATAATTAAATAAATTTTTTGGAAGCGGTATGAATTTGAATTAAAAAATATACAATATTTATATAGTCAATTTTGCTGTTAAAAGGGAAACATTCTTATTATTATGCAATAGACAGAATATAATCATAAATTAAATATTTTAAAATAAAAGTGATATTTTGATTATTAATTATTTTCAAATATAATGAAATTATTCCAATTTCCTATGTACAAAACAATCTGATTTTAATAAGCCCAATTTTTATAATTATTGGCCATACTGAAATTCCAGAGTGGCCAACATAATTATTTATGACAAGAATGACAGATGTGTCATATTAAATGCAAGTTCGTAGAATGCCCACCAGCAGTGACTAAACATCATATATTAGACCACAGAAGACAGTAAACTATATAAACGTCCAGTTAAAATGTGGCTAAAATTCATCAGAAATACAAGTAAAAATCCGATAGATTTGCTGGTCTATTTACGGTAACACTGTTGCCAAAGAAGAGGATTTTACCAAATTTTCAGGATTTCTTACCAAACTTATATGTCGTAAATTTACGCTTACTCATCCAATATTATAGCGTTTGACATTTATTAGAATGCTTTGCAAAGTCAAGTTTTAAATTATTTTCACTATTGCATTTTTGAGTGGGGATTTTCACCGTTTGACCTTGGCAACACTGTACGGCAAAAAATTATCGGTCATTTTTTACTTGTCGGAAATGCAAACGTGCAAATCAGTTTATTTTACCTTTTATCAAGTTAAAAACATAAGATGACTCTAATTTTCAACAATAATACTAATTTTCCGGTAGCGTAGTTGTCTCTACTTCTGGTATTTGTTTACAGGCAATTTTGTGATCGAGACACACGGCGTCAAATCCTACAGCAGACCATGTGAATTTTTCATTAAATTACACGGTTCGTTACAGAATTTGATAGATGTCGTATTAGCAGTAACTTAATTTCTGTTGATACGGCATTCAAATCGCTATGCATTACCATTTCGATTATGGTGGTCATCTTTAAGTCGCCCCGGAGCGTCACGGAAAATAATAATAGGCGTCCTTTCCCCACCCAAGCTCAGTCGGCTTCAGGGGTTGAAATTCACTCGTAAGGGGATGAATTAGGGAGAGTATTATTATTAAAAATTACAAAACGATCAAAGGCAGTGAGGACGAATCACAACAGACTATCGAAACGAAAGATAAATGGAATAGCTGAAAAATTAATTTTATTGTTATTGCTGCAATTTCTAATATTTTAAGTGAAATGATTTCCAAGAAAAATTTATAGAATTTTATTTAATTGCAGTATTTATATTTATTTTCATTCAAGGCAAGCACTTGTAGACGACATACGCATTGTAGTAAACGGTAAATTAGGGGCTGTTGTTTTCGAAAGGATATAGCAGGCACTAAATATCGTCGAAATAGGGTACCTGAAAGAGGGATTGTCCACAAATCCGGCAAAAACCTCTGTCATTGCATTTACAAAAAATTAACTTTATATGTGGGGACAACATCTAAAAATGGCAAAGGAATATTAATTTTGTAGTTTGTAGTTGGTCGCCGCAAGATCTACAACGATCTGGCAACTCTGCATTCAATTTTCACCATCCACTTTCTCCTCCCTTGACTTTCATATTTTTGCAAGAATGCCACTTTTTTTGGGAAAATGAAAATCAAGTAAATATAAATTTTTCTCTAATTGTATTTTTCACTTGATAAAAGCTAAAATAAACTGATTTGCCCTTTTGACAGGTTAAAAATAAATAGCTATTTTGTTCCGTAAATTCAGTAGAAGATCTAGCGGATTTTTATTCGTACCCTGATCAATTATAATCATTTTTTTTAAGAAATATCTTATTACCTTCATATTAAACTGGATGCCTATATTACAGTTTGTTCTTTTAATTTCATTTCACTAAGTATAGTAAGAGAGTAAAGTTCAATATTATAGACTTATTGAAAGTTCACTTAAGGTCAGATCCATGGGCGTCGTTTTGAGGGGGCAAGGGGGGAGGGCAGTTGCCCCTCTCTGGCTTTTACGACTTAATCAACAACGTGTAATATATAACAGATATTTTATTAGGTAGGTACTATAGGTTCTTTAATCCTGATACATCCCAAAAACATAAAAAATAATGCTCTTTTTACTACTGATCAGAAAATGAAAATAGTGGATAAATTTGGAATCGACAATTTTGAAGCTGAATACCAAATGTGGATAGCTGAACATGTCTGCGGTCTACAATGAATGAAAATAGGCGACTGGACTATACGGAGTGGCCCAGAAGTCTGGAAACGGCCAATTATCTCGTAAGTTGCTGATTCTAATTGTACAAAATTTGGAGTACACCTATTTTGGGATACGGAGATTCCAGATTTGATATTTGCAATGTTGCCAGATTGTCCGTTTCTCTTATATTATTAGTCACTTTGGTTTTTAAAATTCATCACCCTATATATTCAGTCATTATTGGAATCTCCTATTCAATACGAGTTCAACCATATTAGTCTAAGATCCGAAGTAAGGTCGACCTTCACCCATCTGTTTAATGGATGAAAGTTTATTTTTATTAAATAAAATATGTTTATAAATATACCGCAAATGGGTTGTCTAAGAAAATACGGTCCAGACTATTTATTTTCTTGAAGTAAAAAAACGACACCCTGTAAACTATTCCCCAGAAACTTCTACTATGCCCAAACTTTAATCAGCTCACCGCAGGATGGACTAAAGCTTAAGTTTTAAATTTGGTGTTTTTCTCTTCATCCGTTTTTGAGTTGTCTTCAATATTCAAAATTTGCACTTTTTCTCAAATATCTCAAATTAGGTCCATTTTAGAGAAATCATGTATGGAAACAAAATAATAGAGAATGACATCATAAGCAACTTTTATCATGATTCGCATACTTTCCTTATCTTTACACAGAAAGAAAAGTAAAAAATGGCTGTAACCGGATTTTCTTAGGCAACCCATTTGCGATATATTTAAAAACATGTTTTATTTAATAAAAAAAAACTTTTATCCATTAAACAGATGGGTGAAGGTCGACCTTACTTACGGATCCTGGACTATATGCAACACTTATGATTTTATGTAGTCTGGAAGGTCTTAAATAAATAAAACAATCATGGAGAAATGTGGGTACTATCAACTCACAAATGGAGCACATTTTGAACACTTGATAAAGTAACCATTATGTTAAAAATGTTATAATCTTTCAATTGTTACGTTTTAATGTAGTTGAAAATAGTTGGTATTAAAAATTTTATTGAGGCGATTAGGCGTTGCCAGACTTATTTTATTTATTTAAGACCTTCCAGACTACATAAAATCATATTTGTTGCATATGGATGAACTCGTATTGAATAGGAAATTCCAATAATGACTGAATATACAGGGTGATGAATTTGAAAAACCAAAGTGACTAATAATTTAAGAGAAACGGCAAATCTGGCAACATTGCAAATATCAAATCTCGAATCACCGTATCCCAAAATAGGTATACCCCAAATTTTGTACAATTAGGACTAGCAATTTTACAATATAATTGGCCGTTTCCAGACTTTTGGGCCACTCTGTATATGATGAGTGCACAGAAAACAAAAAAGAAATTGTGTCTTCTGTTATGGATATTTTTGGTAGAGAAAGAAGAAATTTCAAATTTGCGTTTTCATAAAGTCTTTGTGTTCGACGACGTGTTTGAGTGAGTTTTTTATGTTTTCGTGTTTCTCTAAATATTTTATTTTTTTATTATTGTGTATAGCTGTATTTTCTTGTTCCTATTTTTTGTATATAACACCTTCTTTGTTTTCCAACAAATAAACATTCTAGATCTTGTTAAAAATTTTGCCCCTTCCTATAGAATTGTATAATGACGCCCATGCGCAGATCACTTACATTCTAGAACTGACTTTAATAAAGATTGTGCCTGTCCTTAATTGTGGATGTTTAAGGACAGCAGTTAGTGGCGACTTTATAGTTTTCGGGCGCGCTCGCCAACATTCGTATCAGTTCGAAGTGTTTTAATATTAAAAAGTTAATATTACCGTCATCTAAACCTTCTAAAATGGTAATTTCTAATGCCTCTTCCATACTATGTACTATTATAAACAACAAAAAAGATGAGCTGTAATTTAAAATTTTTAAAATGAGGTTAGAAATATGTACAAGGACTCTAATGTCAAAATTTCAGGTTTGCAATAAGTCTTATTTTAGCATGGAATGTATTTGCCTCTAATTACGTTGTCATTATTAGTGGCTGACGTTATAGAAATTTGCAATTTACTGAAAAACCACCGAAATAAATGATTCTGTTGCAACGTATCAGTCTCGCATTTGGAAGGTAGTGGATTGGATCCTCACTGTCGCCCGACCTGCTATAAGTTTTTTTAAAGATTTTCTTATAGCAATAGATAAAATCTGGGTCAGTAACATCCTCGCAGATACCTTCCACCCTATCTCACCAGATCTCTACAACGCGGCTGAAAAGGCTTGAAAAGCCTACATAGGATATTAAATCAAGTTCCTTAAACTCAAAACCCGGTTAAAAATAGCGACGCGATTACATGAAATACATACAATTCATTAACTAGTATTAAGCATTCCAAATAAAATGACTGCCAGTTGGTTTTGACAGATTCCGATATGGCAACCTTGCGGGCCGGGTGATTTGACAGGTTCAATGATATAGATGGGCCAGTCATGTTTTTCAAAATAAACATAAGCCTATGCCTTGAAGTAAAAATGTAGGTAACTATTTTTTTTACGATATCCAAAGGCTGAAAATTGGTTTTAATACATATTTTTGCTAAACTGATTCTGATTATTGAGCACTTGCGAGGCAGACCGACCTGCTTTGAGCAATCTATACACCTATATACGTATTATTGACCGTGTCAATGACAGTAGGCCACATGGTTGCCATATCTAAAGTACCAGTCCCACTTTTCAGTATTTTGACAGGTCGTTGGTATGCCTAATATTG